TACTTGATGGAGTCTGACACTTTAATTTTCTTGATTTTTCCTTGATCCAGATATTATTTGTTGCAGGTCCCTTTGGAAATTGTTGCTGCTCTTGATCGTAGAAAATTAAAAGAAAAGAAACTAAGCTTGTCGGGAGATCACCAGTTGACTAATGCTGGTCTTGCTGTTGCTCTTTCTAAAAGTTGGCTCCAAAGAACAGGAAATTGGGAGAAGCTGTTCCAACATGTCAGTTTAACTCTTAACATAATCCTGTTTCGTCTATTTTTTTTTTATCCTTCTTTTTGTTACTTTTGAGGCATAGAAGACCCCTTTCATATAACTGGATTTATGAAACCTGTCCGTAGCTCGTATGAAAACCAAAATTTGTCTTTGGTGCTGGTGAATAATTGTTAACTTATTTGCCTTTTCTATCGTTTTATATATGACACTTCAAATATCCCCTGGTTTTAGTGAAATAAGAAAATGTGTAATGATCCTGATGACTTTCTATGGTATTTCTGTTGAAAATGGAGAATGAATTTGATACTTTGAATTTGAAGTTACCTGAAAGAGTAGCGACGATGTGCTTACACAAAGGAATAAATATGCCGAGATCAAGTACCAATAGCAGCCACAAGATTACTTTTTTTTTTGTCCCTCGTACTTGTTTGTTAATTTGGAGCAATCACTTCTTCAATTTGGTAATTCATTATTGTGAATACTTAGAACTTTTACTGATGACTTTCTGTGGTATTTTTGTTGAAAATGGAGAATGAATTTTGATGCTTAAATTTGAAATTACCTGAAGAGTAGCGACAAAGTGCTTACATAAAGGAATAAATATGCCGAGATCAAGTACTAATGGCAGCCACAAGATTTATTATTATTTTTTTCTCCTCGTCTTTGTTTGTTAATTTGGAGCAATCACTTCTTCAATTTGATCATTCATTATTGTCGAGACTTAAGACTTTTACTCGATAATTTACTCGAGTTTATCTTATTCACCTACTCTTTTGTTTTCCTCCCTTTTAAACTAACTATCTATTTGGACATTACCATCAGGCTGACCTGGAAGATAATTTGCCTGAGCCATTTCTAAGGGGTCTCACTACAGCACATCTTTTAGGAAGGGCGCAGATTGTGCACGACTCTCACTCAAAATCGTCAGATTCAGATGGAACAATTGAAAATAGTACTTCAGGAGATTTGGTCTTTTACTTGGATGGGGCCCACAGTCCTGAAAGCATGGAGGCTTGTGCCGGGTGGTTTTCGAGTGCCGTTAAAGAAAACCAAAACCATCTTTCAGCTCATTTGAACAAAGTTTGGAGAAATGGTCATGTTCGACCAGGAAAGAATGACTCGGTCAAAATCTCCAAGAATGTAAGACTCTCTAGAGATCTTTTTTTTTCACATATTTAACAAGTAGTTAAAATCGCTATGTATATATTATTCCTTTATTTTATATGCCTTTTATCTTGCAGATCCTCTTATTCAACTGTATGGATGTGAGAGATCCCCAAATCCTTCTTCCAACACTTGTTGATACGTGTGCTTTATCGGGTATGGGGTCCACACATGTTTTTTAGTTATAAAGCGTTAACCGTGACTGCTATTTGTTATGAAACATCTTTCGACTCACATGGAATTTTCTCTCTTCATGGGCTACGAAGTCCTGAATGTGATTTAACTTAAGTGGCGTAACCATGCGGTAAAATTTAAATAAAGAATGTGGCAAAGCATATGGAGATTTTTTTTTTTTTTTTTGGTACCTTTT